GTGTGTGTATGTGTGTGTGTGTGTGTGTGTGTGTCTGTATATATACATATACAGACACACACACACGTTTTCTGACTATTGTGTTTAAATCTAATTAATAAACTGGCAAGTTGACATTTGCTCAATTTATTCGACTTTAGATCTTAATAATTCTGATGTTTGTGTTCAGGAGGAGGGAGAAGTTGCATCTGATCAAAGTCTGAAGGAGTTTGAAGGAGCCACTCTACGCTATGCGTCCATCAACTTGAAGTACGTAGTGTTAGTTACCTGATTTCTTACTATTTAGTTAGTTGTGTCCTGTTTTATTTTTTTTACCCTGTCGCCTGCTTTTAACTGTGTTGTCCTGTGCTTGTAGTTACAACTGCTCCCAGTCTGAGGAAGAAGAGAAGCTCGCTCCACTGTGCACAGACTTGGAGTCGAAGGTAAATCATGATTCATGTTCAACTTTGTAATTTTGTTAATGAGTACATAAACCCTTCTTTCAGATTATGCTTTTTATTATTCAGCAGAACGCTTTGGTTTCCTACATCAGTGAGAACCCTTAAAAAAACTTTCCCCATCAATACTTTAATCTACACTTTTACTCTGCTGCAACTTTAAATTAGCAAATATCACTTTGGACACATAAGTCAGAATTTAATTTACTCACGTTAACATACAGGCAGAGTCCAAGTAGGGAGCCAGTACATCTAGACTTCATGTAAGGTTTGAATGCAAATTTTCAAAATACTTACACATTGACTCGTTAAATATTGGATATAAATGTTCAGTGGTTTCCCTCACTATTACTTAGTGCTGTACTTGTGTCTTTGTTTTTCCTCCAAGGCCACGTGCTTCATTTTCTCTAGTCCATTTATAGTCATGCTTCACTTTCTTCTTTTTACAAACACACAGCAGACCACATTTAAATGGTTGTTGGAAACTGTGAAATAAGGCAAAGTAAAAGATAGCAGTTTTAGTACTGACCATTTATACCACTAATGTATTAAAATACTTTTAAGACTGAAAGAAGTCTTACAACAGTGTAATCATACCAGCTGTCCAACTAATCATGCACACTGTATCTTCCATCCACAGCTACATTGTACTCATCATGCCAGTATGAGTTACTTTTAAAACTTCACATTTAAGTCCTGGGAAATTATCCAATATATTTTGTTAGTTGCTGTTTATCCTCTGTGAAATGGAGGTTAATGTGAGTGTTCAGTAATTTCTCCATCACTGTACAACATGACATGTACATGTATACTGGTCCTTTTTTGTGTCATTTAAAATAGTTAATTTTCGCAGTTGGTTGAAATAAATAACAAATCAATGCTTCTTTTTTTTTGAGTGTGACGGCATGTTTTTCAACATATCTTCACAACTTCATGCAAAGTGATTATTGTATTGAACTGACTGTAAGTAAATTTGAATCAGGATGATTTTTTTTTACCTTAATCTGGATTATTTTTATTGTATTGTGTCCTGGAATTACCGTTTGTTCTGAATTGATTAACTGAATTAAATGAAAACTGACAAAAGCTGTCATTTAATCAGAAACAAAAACAACTAAATAGGTCTGTCACAATAACAAATGTTGCTGGGCAGTTAATTGTCTCAAAACTATTGCAGTAAATGATAATATTGTTTGAAATTTGACAATAATTCGTAATTGTTAAATTTAAGAAGAAATACTGGTTATTTTGTTTTGAGTTTAGTAACTTTTTCGACCACTGGATGGCAGTGTAAGACTGTTTGAACCCCAGGATGGATAGTGAGGGAGCGAGCAGCGTGTCTCTTTAAGAAAAATAGGAGGGAGGCCCCTTGACTTGACATGGGCTGTCACTCCTTCCTTTTTTCAGTTCTCAAAATGGTGGTTGCTTGGTGTGGTTCGAGCTCTTTAGCATAGCATTTGTCACACAAAGCTTTTAATAAAAAAAAAAAAAGTAAATAAGTTCTCAGCTGCTTTTTGCGGAGAAAAACGGCTTTTTACACAAAGGCACTGGTTTCAACCGTGAATTATGGAGCGTCAACAAGACAGAGTTCTTTTCCTGAGTCAGCCCGTTAGCTTAGCTTGTAGTTTAGCTGCTTTTAATGATCCAAAAACACGATTTTGGATGGTTAAAACAGATTTTAAAGAGAAAGGGAGGGGTCAGTGAAGAGCACCGGAGGTGAGTCTTTTGTCATCCAGTGTCTTCAGTAGAGAGAGAGACACGAAGAAACGATAAAGTCGATAAATGAAAATGAGGTCGATAATTTTCATTTATCATGCGATTAATTTATTTGTTTATCGCGACAGGCCTACAACTTAAAGCTCTTAGCTTTAATCATGATTGTTTTTGCTAACAAGATGCACATTTGTGGTGTCAGTGTTTTGCAGTGCGCTCCCTGGGCTGGGTGGAGATGTCTGAGGAAGACTTGGCTCCTGGCAAGAGCAGTGTCGCAGTCAACAACTGCATCAGGCAGCTGTCTTATCACAAACACAACCTTCACGACACTGCTGGCATCTGGGGAGAGGTGAGGGCCATCTACTCATGTCTGTTGGCACTGGCACGACTGCCCGGATTGTGCTTTTTCACATAGATGCTGATGGTTAAGCAGAACTGTATAATGTCAGACTACTGCTACACAAACTATCAAATTTGTCCATTTGGAGTTAATTGACATTTCATCACATCATTAAATTTTCAGTATGTATTCAGATCATTTAAAAAATACTTGTTGGAAAGTTGACGTGAAATGTATTTACATCAGGTTGCTCATACTCCGTGTGCATGTCGTGACAGGGTAAAGACATGTTGATGGTCCTGGAGAATGACACGATGAACTTGATCGACCCCCTGGGTCAGAATCTACTTCATTCGCAGCCGATCGGCAGCATTCGTGTTTGGGGTGTTGGCAGAGACAATGGAAGGTCGGTATTTAAAACATTTTGGCGGAGCTACATGTACTTGTTTCCATAAAAAAAAAAAAAGTTCCTTTAAACAAAAGCTACTTCAAAATGACTTTTTAAAATGGCTTTCCTTTAACATTATTTTAATTAGTTTTGTAAAATAAAAATGTAACGTCTTTCTTCTGAGCAGATTTTATGATCATAAACAGCTTTGCCTTCCATTTTTAAATGTTCTACCACGTTCTTGCCAAGTGTTTAGTCTTTCTGTGTGCTGCTGCTGCCATCTGCTGGATTGTTGGTTAAACTGCAGACGCTGCAGCTGGAATATTAATAAGCCTTTTTTATTAAATTAGTTGTCTGACTTCTAACACTTGTTGTTTTTTTTCCCTTTCATGCTGCTTTTTACATCATATGCAGGGAAAGGTATATATTGTGCTTCCTCTCTTGAGAGTTGTTTTTGTGCTGTTTGTACAGTGTGTGAACAAAAGCCTGCTTGTTCTATCTTGATGGCTCATCTAAGCAGTGTAACTGGCTCAGTATGTGCACGTGAGCTGTCCCATTTGTTCTCACCTGCAGGGATTTTGCTTACGTGGCTCGAGACAACTTGACCCAAGTTTTGAAGTGTCACGTTTTCCGCTGCGATTCACCTGCCAAGAATATTGCCACCAGCCTGCATGAGATGTGTTCAAAGGTCGGTGCTCGTTCAGGTTTTTGCTCATTTTCATTTTAAATTAATTTAATCAATTGCTTTTCTTAAACATAATGATTTTGCATATTTTTGGCTTTAGATTATGATGGAGAGAAAGGCAACTAAGCCGGGGATGTACAGGCTCAACTCTGACTCAAATAAATCTTTGGGCATCCCTGTTGAAGGTAAAGCTATTAACCCTCAGGCACTTTGAATTTCCCCCTTTATAAATTAAAATGTATTAAATGATGTAATGTTTCCTACATTCTTAGAGTTTCCTGCTCCAAAAAATGAGCTTTTCCAGCGCTTCCATGTTTATTATCTTGGATCTGTACCTGTAACTAGACCAGTTGGTAAGCAAAACTGGACATTTTCTTAGGATATTATTATTAAATCCTGTTTTTAATCCTTCAGTAATGCTTTGTATGGTGTTTTGACAGGGATGGATATGGTTAATGAAGCATTAGAGGTAGCAATGGATGGCAAAGACACAAACGACTGGACTCCTGTCTCTGTGAATGTTGCACCAGCCACTCTCACCATCCTTTCAAAACAGGTGAGAAGCGAAGTCAGATACACTTAAAAACAATTTTTTTAACTTTGATTAACTTTTTAAAGGATGTAAAAGTGTTTTTGAGTCTTAAAATGTCCTCTTCACAAATGAATGATTGACTTGACCTTAAGATTTAAAACTAATGCAAGTAAAAATATGACAACTTGATGTTACTTTAAGATACAGTATATTGCCTCAGTTTGTTTTACACTTATGTTTTAGTGCTTTATTTGATTATTGTTTGAAAATTGAAGTATTTTGTTTTAAAATTTAATAAATTTTTATATGACGACTAAACTTTTTCTGTTTTTTTTTCTCCCACTAGGATGATGAGGTGCTGTCAGAATGTAGAGTGCGTTTCCTGTCTTTCATGGGCGTGGGCAAAGATGTCCACACCTTTGCTTTTATCATGGCAGAAGGTCCCCGAGATTTCACCTGCCACATGTTCTGGTGTGAACCCAACGCTGCCAGTCTGAGTGAGGCTGTGCAGGCTGCGTGCATGGTGAGCTATAAACCAAGCCTCACACTGAATCTGACATCACTGACGCAGACAGAAGTCAATCAGAGCTTATCATCAATATTTATTTGTGTCTGTTTCTTAAGCTTCGCTACCAGAAATGTTTGGATGCTCGTCCACCCAGCCTCGCCTCCTGTCTGCCCACCCCTCCCACTGACTCTGTGGCTCGACGGGTCAAGAAGGGGGTGCAGAGTCTGCTGGGCAGCTTTAAGAGCTACAGGTCAGGTTCTCAGTCCCCCTGAGTCTGAGCAAAGAAGGTCTACACTTCATTAAACACAAGGTCCACCACATCAGCCCCTTCTCACTCTCACATATACGTGTACACGACTTTGTCATAGTTTCACCTTCAAACTTTCTTGTCTAGTCAGGTGTGTAGAGTAGTTTTTGGGTGAACTGTGTTTAAAAGATTTTTATTTTTTTTGTCTTTATACAAATATTTTAAACTCGTGTAACTCCCCTCATCAAATGTTTTCTTTACTGAATTCTTTAATAAGTGTGTGTTTTAACAGAATCAAAGCTATGAATGTTTAATTATGGATGTACTACATTTTACTTGTCGACATGAGAATTTGCCTGAGCAACAGGTTGACAGAGTCCCTCGTAGAAATGCTCGCTCATCATCTTGTCCTCCACAGTGCATTCGTCATCTCTAACACTCCTCCTTTTTTACTGTCTAAAGATTTTACCCATGATGCAACCCGTCAGCAGTTGGTGTCATTAAGCCTCATGCTCATTTCGCAAACACTACGACTCTTTTTACAATTACTGTAGGTGCTACAGTCATGTGCAATCTCTTTATGTCTCCCCCACACAATGTAAATTAGTCTTCCAAAAGTTTGTATCACCCTGTGAGCAGCCACTGATTTGATTGAACCGTGTTCTCATTCATTCTGCATGAACATTTGAAATTTTAGTGCTTGTGTGCAATAATCAAATGTTTCATTATGATGTGGCGATTTAAATGGGAACCACATTATTTCACTTTAGTGAGCGAGTCTTAATAGACTGGATGTGAGGCTTATGGAACAACAGAGCCATGCTGAACATTGTTACCTTATGAGGATGATAATAATAAAAAAAAAATACAAACTCTGAGGTTTATCACAACTGTTTACCACCACCAACAACTGAATAGTACTGTAGAAACACTACAAGCTGCATGTTTGGATAGTTTAGAGTTGCTGCTGCTCGCAGCACAGTAGTGCTAAAGAGCCATCAATGTATCCTTAAAAAAAAAATCTGTGTTTCTGTATGGAAAAATGAGATTGGAGTTGATGTGTTTTGTGTTACAAAGGCATGTCACTCTAAATAGTGTCAGTGTTTATCATTAGCTAGCAGTAGAAAGTTCGACTCGTCTCTTCTTTAAGAGTAAGATGAGATCACGTCCTTGCTTGTATTCACAGTTTGTGTGTAAATGAGAAACACAAATTTGATTATTATTTTTTTTCAGTGGTTTATATTTTCTCTTGTCCCCTTTTTGGATGTGTGTGTGGCCCCGGCCTCTCTGGTTAATGTATTTTTTATTGTTTCCACACCACAAAGTTCACGGTGAATACGATTTATGCATAACGAGTTAGATTTAGATTTTGTAAAGATAACACTACTAGCCAGCTAGTTTATCTTTGTGTCTGTTGTCAGTGATATATACTGTATGTAGCACAATAAGTCATTTTTAATATTGAAAGAGGCAGTTTGTAAAGCATTTGGGTCATTTTGTTTTATTTAGCTACAAGTTCTTGGTTACAAGTTTATCAACACTCTCAGACTAACAAACTGATAAATTCTCTTTACACCCAATGCATTTAATTATTATTATTAATTAGGTGATAAGTAATGATGTAAAAGGCACTCGCATTTAAAACCATGTATCGGTAATGCTTATTTTAAATAATGCAATTTTATAGAGCATATTTTTAAACACAATCCAACAAATGTATTTAAATAATATTTTATCAGCTGTTTGCTTTGTGTTGCTTACAGAATTAGGTTTATTAATGTGGATAACACAATCAAAACAAAGACCGTGCCATAAGGATTTTCATTATTGTAAAACGTACAGCCACCAAATGTTTAAGGCAAAGTAGAAATCTAAAAACACATTTGTGCTCAGAGACGTGCATACGACTGCTTAAATCTAAGAATACTTTTCTTTTCCTGTAAGTTCTGGAAAAACAAAAATGTTCCACAGTGTTAAGTCATGGCTCCAAATCTCTTCCAAACTGCCTCTGTGTGTGTAAGATATAACACTAAAGAGAATTCGACTGCATCGACTCATATTACTGCCTCGTTACTGACGTGTCACTGGGAATTGTTGTGCTTTTTTTTCTTCTACAAAGATGGCTGTGTCCAATCAGTGGCAACACTGAGGCCAGATGATTTAAAGAACATTAGCAGATTAATTTATTACTGGTCATGTAAATTAGGTGTAAAAAAAATGATGTATGTATATAAAAGTCACTGCACAATAAATGTGGACATATCACATTTGTTTATCTTGTTTTTTTATATATATATTTGTTAATGGTATGGCTGCATGGAGAGGTTGGTTTCCAAAGGGCAGGTCTGGAACCTGCAGCCTAATCTGCATTTTTTTGGTGTCTGGATTTAAAAGCACGGTATTCATTTTCATTTCCTATCAAAGTCTCTATCAGTCATTCCTAGATTTTTCATTAAAATGTAAAAGAAGTCGCACAACAGCAGCCTGGCCCTGTTGAATATATAATAAAGCTGCTGACACTGGTTTTACTGAGCGTGTTGACAGAGCAGTGCATTAACAGAACACATCCACCTCTTTCTTCCTGTATCACCTGCTCAGTTCATGATAGCATTGACCCCCTCCCCCCCCTCCTGAGATCAAAGGGATGGGTGGAGAGAGGGGGGTGCCTATTGTCTCCGAAAGAGATGGCTTTGGAGATGAAAGGTGCACATCAATTGGCAGCCACAGCAGAAGCAGACTAGTAATAGCACCTTCACCTCCACATGGGTATTTGTTGGCCCGGTCAGCGCTGCGGGATGCCAGAGCAGTCGGTCAGACCGTGGCCTCAGCTGCAGTCGACTCTTTGGTATAGCCTGGACTGGGAACCCAGACTGATTCAGTCCTGGCTGTTCAGATGAAATGGATTAAAAATTGCAGTCATTTTACTTGTGCATCTGGAAAACAAAAAATCGCTGCATTTTTGAAACACAAAGTGAGAAATGAATCATAACACCTCTTTACACTTTAACAACCGTTCTCTGTCAGAAGTAACTAAAAACTTGTGGAGTCTACTTCATAAAAAGACTTAAAAACCACCCATATGTTGTAAAGCTAAGGCTAATCATGTTCTGAACACAGATTGCACAAGATCTTTGTTTAAAATGTTTGCCAATAACCATTTTACTATTAAATATTTTAACTTTGTCGGATAACATCTCAAGGATATGCAAAGATTTTAATGAAACAAAAGCATTTATTGGGTGTACATCTGCTGCTAATTAACTTTTTAGGGTAATCCAAGTCAAGATAGCCGCCACAGCTACGGTAATCAACATTGGCCAACTTATAAAATGGCTAGATTTGAAGATATTGAACTAAAACCACTGGTTACAGACGTAAGAGTCTTTCTGCTCCAGGTGGTTGAGCGCAGTGTGGACCACAGAGAAGATGGCATCCTCTGTTGATCGGTTCTCGCAGTATGCGTACTGTTGAGGGTCCTCATTGATGTTCATGGTGGTTTTGATGTGGGTCATGACCAGTTTTTCGAAGCATTTAGCGACTCTTGGGGTGAGGGCCACTGGCCGATAGTCATTTAGACCAGTCACTGTAGAGCTTTTTGGGACTGGGATGATGGTGGCAGTCTTCAGGCAGATGGGAACTGTCTCCAGGTTAAGTGAGGTGTTAAAGATGTCGGCCAGCACCTCGCAGAGCTGTTCAGCACATTCTTTCAACACTTTCCTGGGGATGTTGTCTGTGCCGGTTGCCTTGAGCAGATTAATCTTCAGAGTTCAGTAGTAGCTGAGTCAATTAAAACATGTGCTTTTGAGTGTGGCATCTGATCGCAGCAACTCTGGAAATCAGGGAAACCTGGAAAATGTCTTTCACATTTTCCTAACAAGGTAATCTCTAGGAATATGAACACTGAACTACTGAATGAAAGATTGTCTTTTTGAGATTTTTTTTTAAAACAAAGTATGTTTATTGATTTTTGTTGGTTTTAAACAAAACAGAACACATAGAACACCACCCCCCACCCCGGCTCAGTCAAACATACATAAACAAACCAAGCAGGCACTGACATACATTCCACTGACAACATAAAGTGTCTCAAAATCTTTTAACAGAACCTCTCTGGGTGTACTTTATTTTTTCCAAGTGGATGTGGTACATCACCTCCCTCACCCAGTGTACATATGCTGGGGGGTGTAGGTCCTTCCAGTTACACAAAATTAGCCTCCTGGCCAGAAGAGAGCCAAAGGCAATCACAACCTTTTCGTATCCGCTGAAGGACGAATCCACGGGAACCACCCCAAACAATGAAATGAGTGGTTGATGGGTGTACAGTCCAGCCACAAACTCCAGAGAAGGTGTCAAAAATAGATTGCCAAAAGGTCTGCAGCTTGGGACAGGTCCAGAATGTTAGCAGGCGTGTAGATGGTTTGTCTGCAGCGGCTGCATGCTGGGTCCAGCTTGGTCTTAATTTTGGATTTAGCTTGTCTTTGGACCAGTGCTGACCGTGCACTACCTTGAATTGGATTACATATGTTAGGAAGATTGAAGATTCAATTCAAATTTTAATTGACTTTAATTTAAATAAAATCTCAGCCACGAAAAGCTTAGGGGGGTACAAAGAAAAACAGTCAGAGCTATATCTCCCAAAATGCCCCAGCTGCCTGTTCTGAGATTTTGACGTGTAAATATATTAATGCTAAACTCTAGTGTCATTGACTCAATGTTCTGCTACTGCCGACATGCATCCTTTCTGATTGGCTGTGGTGGCTTTTTAGTATCTGACAGGCAATACAACAAATGGGGTGATTTCCGTATGCACGTACTTTAGACTATGGTATAGTTACCGCCATCTAAGGCATTAAATTCTGAGCGTTTCATGTGACTGAAATATCTCCTGGAATTTCAGGATATACTTGGGGTAAACTCAGGGAATTTTGTTTTAATGAAAACCCTAGATGCAGTTAACAACAAAGTCCATGCTCAATAATCTAGTTGCAATCTATTATGCGGTTGCGCATAATATTTTTAACGTTTGACCAAAACAACCATCACTCCATCATTTGTGTTGCATAATATACCAACAGCTTGTGCTTAGAGTAGTTTGACATTTTAACATTTGAGTCCTTCTAGTTTGAATAAACTGATGGGCTAATTAGCATGTGCATTTTGCTGACAACAGTTTAGATTAAGATGGAAAATGTGGCAATTTTTCCCCTTCCTAATAATGGGCTGTTTTTCTGAGCAGCATGCTAATGTTAGCAAGTGTTTATCAAAGAGCTGTTGTGTACTGACCCACAAGAGCCGCAAGCATGACTGCACACTCTTAGCTGACGTTCAGTGTATTTACACTGAGGAACTGCTTAAGTGTGTTAAACCAAGATACAAATTGATGAAAAAATATGGGCACAAAGCACAAAATCACCTGGAACACAATAAGATGGGAAAAAACATGTAACACTAATAACATGTTCTTATCACGGTAGTGTTAAATTTGTATAGTAAATTAAAAAAAAAAGTATTAATACTGTCATGATTTTTGTTTGTTTCATGTGTTGAACCAAAGAGGCTGCAAAACAATCTTGAAAATGCACGACTGTTGCATTATATTTATATGTAGAAAAGCTAAATCTGTGGCTAAGATAGTTTTATTCTTAATGCAAACCATGGAATTAACCTGTATAAATAAAGGTTGAATGTCTGTTAGCAAAATATCTCATGGAGCACTTTCAATGAAACTCAGAAAAATAATAATTGAATTGAAATGGCCACCAGAACACTGTACCCTTGATAAACACAACAATGCCGATCCAAGTTAATTTTACAGATATTAAACTATAATTTGGTGTGGTAGTAGCTGACAATCAGTCACAACACATAGAGCACTAACAGATCATGCAACCTAACCCTCACTCATGACTGTGAATGTTCCGTGCTATAATCTCATAATTCGTGTCCTAAATCTGTTTCGTGATTGTTGCGTTTTACTGGGTGTCATGCTGCCGTCCTGGCAGTCCATGTCCCTCTGAAGTCAAGTTTATTCACTCCAAACTTTGCTTAGTGTCAATCACAATTTACATAAGACTGCCCTTGGAGAAACTAATCACAATTATAATTATTCTTATAGCCTAATTATGCATATGGCATTTGTTTAATGGAGATTTATTTTGAGTAATGAATGTTTAGTCTTGTGGAACATTGCTTTTCCTCTCGGTGTGGCGGAGACGAGTTGCGTCTCGTCTGCCGGGCTTTTCGATCTAATCACCAATCTGAGGCGGGATGAAAGGAGCTGCAGCCCCGCCCACTCCTGAGATACAGTATGTGGCATTTGTTGCCTCTTGATTTTCAGGAATGACAATGATGAGTACCAGACTTTGATTGGGGCTACTATAAATCAAACATGACCACAAGAGATGTGTTAAGAAGAAACAATTATAATGAATGCAAGTATAAACAATACTTTTATGCTGACACATCAGGGACTTTTAGTACAAAACCTGCTACAAGACATCTTAAAGTGAGGGCAAGAGCATGACATGCCCAGCGATCTCTGTTGCAGCTCTGAGCCGTTCATTTTGGGATTAAGTAGTTGGATATGAAACTGTCCAGTGGGGGGGTGAGAGACAGTGATTGCCTTTCCAGAGGGAGCAGACAGCATCCCACTGTTGTCTGGATAATCGTTTCTCCAGCGGTCCTCAAGTGATTCCAACAGCTCAGCAGTCGCTCTGTAACAGTTCACCACACACCAATCTAACAGGAGCCCCAGCCTTGACGGGCTCTGCTGCACCGTAAAGCACACAGCATGTCACGCATGACAATGGCAACCTCAGACCGTGACCCGAACCAGCACAGGAACTCCACCAAAAAGCGTATTTCGTATTTTAAGATTTATTTAAAACTCACACAGGCAGCACAGATTACAAGCTTTAGTACGAAAGTAAGCATTTTAAGACACACTTCTGAAGAGCAAATACAATGATAATGTATTTGCTTTTGTCTGAATGTTAGCAAAATATCTTATGGAACAGAGCTTTCAGCCAATTAGTATTTTGTGAACATGTACAACTGATTAAATTTTAGACGCCACAGTGGCTCGAGGTGGTCATAACTGTCAATGTTACAAATCCATTTGGTGGATTTGGTGTGGCAGTAGCTGATAGGTATCCCTTGGATATACCCTGAGTGCTAACATATCTTGCACAATCTTACAACATTGCGTGAGATGGTGCATAGGACTGACCAAAACGACTCTTTCATGATAACGGTG